TTTGTGTCACATTGTGAGATAGATAATATGAAGTCGAAACTCTGAGATTTAGTCACTGTTATGAGATATCAAGTCACAATCAAGTTAAATCTCACAATTGTGAGATTTAAAGTCACACCGTGAGATTTAAAGCCATAGGTGTGAGATATCAAGTCACAATTGTGAAATTTAAATTCACAACTGTGATATATAGTCACAATCATGAGATTTAAAGTCACATTGAGAGATTTAAGTTACAATTCTGGACAGAGTCACGATTGTGAGATTTAAAGTCACAAGTATGATAGTATGAAAGTATGAAAGTCAAAATTATGAGAATTAAAGTTACAATTGTGAGATTTAAAGTCACAAGTATGATAGTATGAAAGTAATAAAGTCAAAATTATGAGAATTAAAATTACAGTTGTGAGATTTAAAATCACAGGAATTCTTTAAAAAAAATACACTTTAAGATTTACACAATTTAATTAATAGTAAAATTTCATCAAATTGAATTTAATAATCCTAACGTAATTTTAATTGAATAATTGATTAAGGATAGTTCAGTTATTCAGTTAAAATATGTAAGGATTATTCCATTCAATTTGATGGAGATTTACTATTAATTAAATTGCATAAGCTTCCTCTTTTTTTCTTTTTTTTGAGTGTATCCACAGCTGTATCATGTGCTAATTTTGTTCTTTCAGGGTTTCAACATTAAAAGTGTGACCTGTGATAGCATGAAGCTGAATGTGTGGGACATTGGAGGACAGAGGAAGATTCGACCATTCTGGAAGAAGTACCTGGAGAACACAGATTTATTGGTATGACAGCAGTTAACTTTCTCAATGACATTGGCCATGTTGTGAGAGCATTTACAGTCACATATCTAATTACATTTCTGTTTTGTGTATCAGTCAAAAAGCTTTTATCTCTTTAATAGTCCATTTTCTCTCTCCCTTTTTTAGATTTATGTGATTGACAGTGCAGACAAAAAGAGATTTGAGGAAACAGGACTGGTAAGACTACACAGAATCAATCTGTGACAATCACAGCTTCTCCTTGAAAAGCATTTTATCTGATATAATGACATGTCAAGCAATCTGCCTCTAATTTCTTTCACTTGTAATGCGCACAGACTGGATAGCTTTTGTCTCAAGACTCAAATGAAACAGCTGCCAGCACAGATCAAAGGAGATCTCATTCTATGCATCTATGGGTGATTTCTAAATTAGATGATTTTAATGGAAAATGTTTTCAAAACAACCTTTCTGGTTTTAAAGGATACATTTTAATAGTTTTAAACTTTTTATTGTGTATCATTAATTAGTTCCTTAATTTGAAGAGTGTTGAAATGCTAATCATTTGCCCGAGTTATATTATTTTGGACTTGTCCCGTAACAAAATACATGAGAAGTGACAGGGTGGGAAACACATTTCCATCAGGCCAACAAAATTAGAGTTTGAAGATTAAAAAAAAAAAAGTATTAATTTTAAGATAACTTTATTAATGTATATTAAATACAGTTGGAAGAATTCCTATTTTTTTAAAGGATTCATTCACAAATTAAAATTCTGTCATCATTTACTCACTCTCAAGTTGTGCCAAACCTTTATAAATGTCTTTCTTCTGCTGAACACAAAAGAAGACATTTTGAAGAATGCTTGCAACCAAACAGATGCTGGTAGCCTAACCATCGACTTCCATGGTATTTTCCTTAGGGTTACTCCAGTCAACCTGATGAAAATGTGCCTTTTAAAATCATTTTCTAAAAATGATTCCAAACCTGTATAAGTTTGGAAGAACAAAAAAAGAAGATATTTTGAAGAACCAAACAGTTGTTGGTCTCCATTGACTTCCATAGTAGGCGGTGGTGGGGGGTAACTATGGAAGTCAATGGGGACCATCAACTGATTGATTACCAGCATTCTTCAAAATATCTTCTATGTTCAACATAAGAAAGAAACTCATACAGGTTTGGAACGACATGAGGGTGAATAAATGATCCCTTTTTTAGATTTATGTGATTGACAGTGCAGACAAAAAGAGATTTGAGGAAACAGGACTGGTAAGACTACACAGAATCAATCTGTGACAATCACAGCTTCTCCTTGAAAAGCATTTTATCTGATATAATGACATGTCAAGCAATCTGCCTCTAATTTCTTTCACTTGTAATGCGCACAGACTGGATAGCTTTTGTCTCGAGACTCAAATGAAACAGCTGCCAGCACAGATCAAAGGAGATCTCATTCTATGCATCTATGGGTGATTTCTAAATTAGATGATTTTAATGGAAAATGTTTTCAAAACAACCTTTCTGGTTTTAAAGGATACATTTTAATAGCTTTAAACTTTTTATTGTGTATCATTAATTAGTTCCTTAATTTGAAGAGTGTTGAAATGCTAATCATTTGCCCGAGTTATATTATTTTGGACTTGTCCCGTAACAAAATACATGAGAAGTGACAGGGTGGGAAACACATTTCCATCAGGCCAACAAAATTAGAGTTTGAAGATTAAAAAAAAAAAAGTATTAATTTTAAGATAACTTTATTAATGTATATTAAATACAGTTGGAAGAATTCCTATTTTTTTAAAGGATTCATTCACAAATTAAAATTCTGTCATCATTTACTCACTCTCAAGTTGTGCCAAACCTTTATAAATGTCTTTCTTCTGCTAAACACAAAAGATGATATTTTTAAGAATGTGGGTAACTAAACAGTTCTGGTACCCATTGACTTTTTTAAGGGCATAGTCTTGGGTTCAATCCTTAGTATACACATTAAACGGCATCCTTAGTATACACATTATACGGCATTTGGGGGCAGTCGTGGCCTAATGGTTAGAGAGTCGGACTTGTAACCTTGGCCACATGTCACGTCACTACTTGGCCAAACGTCACTTCACTCACTCAACCATAGTATAGGCCAAATAGTATATGAATTGGGATTCACATATGCTAACCTCGATGTGGTACTGATTACACTCTTTTTAAATCCTCTGTGTTGACCTTCTTCCACAGGAGCTCTCGGAGCTCATCGATGAGGAGAACCTGAAGGGTGTGCCATTGCTCATCTTTGCCAATAAACAGGACCTGGCCACAGCCTCTCCGGCCAGTGAGATCGCAGAGGGCCTCAACCTGCACACGTACCGGGACAGAGAGTGGCAGATCCAGGCCTGTTCTGCCGTATCTGGGGAGGGTGTACAGGTTTGTAAATATATAGTCAATTTATTTCAATTTTACCCTTATGGGAATGGTTTAAGACATTTTTTTTTTCTTTTTTCTTTCAGGATGGCATGAACTGGATCAGTAACAATATTGTAAATAAGAAAAAATGAATCTGCTCACTTCCAAGTGTCATTTTGTACAATTGCTCTGATTCTTCTGTTAATGTAAACCACGTATAAAATATTTACTTCAGAAAACTGTTTTTGTAATTATATTAATGATCTTTCTTCCCGTTTGTAAATTGGCTGCCAAGAGAGACTGGCAGGAAAACAACTAAACAAATCATTTTTCCCTCTCTTATCTCTTATGCTCTCACAGAGAGTTTTTGTTGCTCTCAGACTAGACAAGCTTTCTTTAAAATCTGTAAATCATGCTTTCGCTGTCGCGTTTTTGAGAAATATGACATACCAGGGCATAAATAATGCACACAAGCAAGATTTGCAGCCTATAATAAGGAAGAGGCATCCGTGTATCTATCACAAATATATATAGTCTTCTTAAGCTGTTTTGATAGTTGTCACACCGGAGAATTATCTTTAACAGAGCAAAACTCTTAAAAAAGTGTGTAAGATGATATGTGTTGTTGTTGTTTTTTTGTCTCAGTATGACTGGATTTGCTAGTTTCTATGAACATCCTGTGTGGACATCATGTGTATGATTATATGAAATGAAATTGTGAAATTAAAAATGTTATGATTATCTTTGATTCTAATTCAAACAAGATCCTAGACTAGTTATTTACCAAGTTTTCCAACATTTTTGGAAGATCAAAAAAAACAAACATATTCAAGCAATATAACATAAGAACAAATGCTGTTGTTCTAAATAATTCACATATGATGAATTTTTGTAGGCTAACCTGTCAGTTAGCATCAACCTGGTTCCCTTGACAAAAAACGGACAGAATTTTTCCATTGGCTTTTGGATTATTTAATAAAATAAGCTCTATGACCAACAAAGGTTTGATTATCATCATGACAATCTTCACAAATTAACACAACTTGACATGAATTTTGAAGCCTAAATACAATCGCACAAAGTAAAAAGTTAAACTTAGACTACAAACAAACTAAGCCAAGGTCACATGACTAAAACATCACCACCATTAAGCGTCTGACAGCTCTTTCAGTTTTTAATTTAAAAACCATTTTCCATTAAATTTTGAGTTAGAAAAATTTGCAAGAGCGTGATTATTAACACAAAGAGGCTGTAAAATGCCATTATGATGTTTAACGTCCCCAACAATCTCTGCAGTCCCATTTAGCCACTTGTTAGCAGCCACCTTTTTCAAGACAAGCTTTAAATCACAAATGGTGTATTACTGATGTATTTCATGATGTGAGAGTAAAAGGTGAATATATCTTGAGCTTGTTTTAACCACAGACTTTATTTCAGGCACTTAACCAAAAAACAATTCAAAAAAACCTTTGAGGCAATTAAACCGGAAGTGATAAAATGCAAATTTTCAGGTTTGGCCTACAAAAATAGTTCATCCCTGCAGCACTCTATTAAGCCAAACAATGAAGAAAAAAAATGAAGCCTCTTCTCAGACCAATGGGATATCTGCAGCAAAAGGTATTGAACCTCAGAGGCAGACATACTTGGAAATGACTCAGAGTCTTGCCTTCCTCCCAGGTCACCAGTCTGCACACTTAGTATTATGGCCAGTGGATCAAATTTTCATTAGTGTGGATGCTGAAGCTCCACTACTCTAATCCAAGGCCATTAGATACACACCTCACTTGCTATAATAAGACAGTGATCTAACCAGGGCAAAAAGAGGGTCCACAGTGAGTCTGATGTGGGCTCACATAAGCATTTCTACCTCTGAACAGGATACATCATCTAGACTGGCATAAAGGCAAACACAGGATTTTAATTTGGTAAGTTTAGCTGTAATCAAAGGATTCATTTGTTCTGTGATCTATGCGACTCAGTTTAAACAAGTGTTTTCAGGCCTGATTTGAGATCAAAGGAGTACATATATATCTATCACAAAGAAAGGGTCAAATCAGATTCATTTAGTGGGGAAAAAAGTATAAAAATAAATTATTAATCTTACTGGACCAGTTTTACTGAAGGCTGGACACGATTAATATCACCATGCCTGTGCCATACACTGACGTACCCAAGAAAGAGCAACAGGAGCTGTGCTCGGACACAGATGGAGGTAAGACATCAGAAGCATGAAAAAAGCTCAGTTTTTTTAAACAGCACACCATCTCAACAGATGAGACTAATTCAATGAAATCAACCTTGAAAGCAACAGCACTGTGACGTGTGGGGGAAAAAAGCAAAACAGTGAGCCAAATTTTCACTTTCTGCTCTGGCATGTCTCAACTGCTTTGACTCGGCTTCCAAAACAGTAAGAGTATTTGTAATGTAATAATATGACAGCAGGAGACTAAATGCTTTGCTCCAGGAGATCATGACTCAACCACGCCTGATTGGGAAAGATCTGAATCCTCTTAAACATTACTGAACAAACAGCAGGCTGAGGTTACACCCTGATGCCTGTGTCAAATTTAATAATTTATTCACAGTCGCACATATTGTGCATGATTGGAGAGCCAAAATGATGACAGAGAATGTTAGACCTGCTTTTGATGACATAAATTATGAATGATCATACACTATTAAATAAAACCTGCAAATGTCTATAAAAAATTGTTTTTCCATCAACTTTCAGAAGAATGGCATGTAATTACTAGTTTATAACATTGTAATGTCATGTCATAAAGGACAGTTGTTCTGTGATTAATATCAATGCATTTCAACATATCTGTACATGTAAATCAGCATGTTTGAACCTGGGGAAGAAGATCAGTGTTCCTCGGGATCTGATGATGGAGGAGCTCAATCTGCTGTCCAACAGAGGATCTATAATGTTTCACGAGAGACTCAAAAGAGTGGAGAGGTTCACCTTGGAGAATATAGCACAGAGACACCTCAGTGTAAGACATCTTACTGTGTTCACCGGGTTAAAGTCAACATGAAATCAGAATGGACCCAATTTACTTATGGGTTCATTATCATTATGAATTTATGAATTTGGCCCCAGTGTTAACCAGTAGCCAAACAGCTATTTTATTGATTTATGGTAATGTCAATAGGCAAGACAATTCTGTGTGGGTTAACATTAATATTGTGGCAATAATAACAAATAATATGTCTGAATAAAAAGTTTTACCTTTGAGATGTGCTGAAATCGTCTTCAGGGTGAATTTGCCCTTCTGCCTCCATGTCAAAAAGCTTCCTCAAAAGTTCCACAATTGACTGCAAACTCACATTCAGTCCGGTTCTATTCTGGAACACCCACTTTTCATGCTCCAATCAATCCCTGTTGGATAAAATCAAGTCCCGCCCTATTTTATTCTCATTTAATATCCTGTTTTACTCAGAGTTACAAGACTTTTAATTTACAGAAGTAAAATGGGTTGTGGAAGCTGTTTGAATGTGAAACCAGAGGTAACCATTCCTTCTCCTGGAGGGCCAACTTCCTGAGTAGTTTAGCTCCAATCAGCTGCCTAGAAGTTTCTAGTCACCCTGATGAGTTTGATTAGCTAGTTAGGTGTTTAATTACCATTGAGGCTGAACTCTGCCAGAAGGCCCTCCAGAAGCAGGACCGGATACCCCTGAGCAAAATTAAAGATGTTTAGTGAGCAATCTACGCACTCAGGGGTGTCCAATCCTACACCTGGAGGACCACCTTCCAGCAGTTTCTTGACCTAATTAAACACACCTGAATCAGCTAATCAAGGTCTTCATGACCACTAGAAACCTCCAGGCAGCTGGTTGGCGCTAAACCCAGCAGGCCCTCAGGAGCAGGATTGGACAACCCTGAAGTAACTATTAACCCCAGGCAGTACTGGTTCTGGTTCAGTATGGTTCCATGAAGAACCTTTAACATTCATAGTACCTGTCCATTGCACAAAAGTTTCTTTAGATTATTAAAATGTTCTTCACACTAGGAAAAAAAAAAGTTAATTTTAAAACTTCTTATCTAAGAAGGTTCTTTGACCTTTTATTTTTAAGTGTGTAGGTCCAGTAATAATGCATGATGTTTTAACATTGTCTAGCACTTAGAGGAAACACTTCAAGGCCAGAATGCCACGCAAGGAGAGAAAGGAAGTGATTGCTTCAACTCTGAAAGCTACATCAACCAGCCTGGAAAGAACAGCCTAGTCACCACACTAAAGCACATGGTTGCAAAGAAAGGAATCCCAAGTGTGCTTGCACCTGGTAAATACAGCACTATGTGTATCTTTAATTCTGTTCTCTTACATTTAGGTTTCTGTTGTTCTCAAAGTCAAAGGAAAATCCTGAAGGTCTCTCAATTCTCTCACACAGGTTATGGGGGGCCTCTGAAAGAGGTTCCTCCGGAAAAGTTCAATGTCACTGTGATCCCCAAATCTTACCAATCACCCTGGGAGGAAAAACCCATTGACAACGAGAGCCTGTTAGCGAAGATCAGTACCCATCTGCCTGAGCCACCTTACAAACTCACCCCAGCCAACTACAAATGCTTTAACAGGTACCGATTAATCACAACAGATACTTTCACCCTCATTAGCACCAAGTTGTTGAAGTTAAACTTGTAACGAAAATAAATTCTGTTTACTTTCTAAAGCCATGTTTTTGGTCTTATTTTGAATAATTCATTGATTCCTTTTGTACTGATGTTACCTAGGCCACACAGGTTATTGAATAATGTTAACAAATAGCTGTTTAGCTAACTACATATCTTTCCATTGAAAATCCTGCTGAAAATCCTTGGACATAATTTAGGGTTTTGAAGTAAAATGGGTTGCAAATGACAAATATTTAAGTGTTGAGAGCATAGGGAGACTTGATTACCTCATTTGCAGTGCTTCGTGATAGTAGGTGCAATTTGCAATTTCTTTTGGTGCAATTTCCTTGACTGGTCTTTTTTTTTCTTCTTTTTCTTTTACAGAATCATTGGTAAAGTAGTTTCCCCCCGAAGTATTAGACTGGTAAACAAGATTATCTAAAATAATAATAAAAGTTTTTTTTTTTTTTACTCGGGGAAACAGTTGCACTCTATTGACAATTAGTACACTTCCGCAAGCTTTGGTGCTTGTTTTTTCAAACTTTTTTTAACGTCACATTTCCACTTCCCTTTCAAATAAATTAGTAGATAAACTAAGTAGCAAAAGTCCCTCAAAATGGTGGTTGAATTAAGGAAGGACATCAGCCACTACTAGTAACATTATACATAAAAGACTTAGCATGTCTGGCATGGGAAGGCTGCCTGCCAAAAAACTGTTGGTTTTAAGGTCAGGCATTAAAACAGAATTTGTATCTTGAAACCTTACGCTGGTCCTGGCTCATGTATCAGCATGTGGGTGAAAAAGACAAGACTTGTTCCACTCAGCTGTTAGGGAAAGTCAAGACTATTTTAGGGACATGAACAACATTCATTGTCATTCTTCACAGAGCTCCTACGCCGTTTGGTGGGACAGCAGGTACTGTGAGGACTCTGCCGCTACCTGGCTTTGAGATGCTGCAGGCACACACAGAGCCACATCTGACCTGGGACTGGATGTGCCATCGGCCCAATTTCAATCGTACTCCACGGGGCTGGAGCACCAAGTACGCTGCAGAGTCTCCCGATCTGTAAAGCTAGAATACTCAACTTTTTTGCCAAACTACAATTGAAGACTGAATTTCTGAGGGATGCCTGCATTGCTACTGTGAATTCTGAGCTGAGCCATTGTGAGCCATCAAATACCAATTTAAAGTTTACACACATTGTCTATTAACATGCTATATTAATGTTTACACAATCGTTCACACAATATTAAAAAATGTGAAGCTTCTTTAATGTAACCACACACTAGACCGCTGTATATTAAAAAAAAAAAAAGTCTTAAAAGCAATTCAGGACAACACACTTCATACTTAACAGAAAAAATGGGAAAGGTATGGACACTAGCGCAAACTGTAATATGAATCCTGGAATATTCTAGAGGTGTAGGACAATAAAGTGTTAGAAAAATAAAGACATCAGATGAAAAAAAGTCAATAGTGCCCCCCTTTGTTAATTGTTGGTCATTGCAACAGATTCTTTTCGGCCCTAAAAAAGGCATATATGTTTCATATCATTACATACAAAACAAAAAATGACAAAAAGATAACAGAAACCATCAAGGGTTATTATAAATCATATGCATAAAAAAAAAAGTTTTTGACATGGTTTAAATTCTAAGATGTATTTTTCCAGTATTCTCCTGCTCTGAAAATGATAGACAGATATAAACGCATAAAAATGAGGGCAGAGTTGACATCACTCTGGGTTAAGTTGTTCAGAGGTCATTGCTGAGCAGTGAGGTAGCTGTAGAACCATCTAAGGGCCTCCATGGCGACTTGCATGGGCGCCCATCCGCTGAGGATCTTGGGATGGGTAGTGGACCTGTCCGGGGGGCCTCATGGCCATTGGAGGGGGCATTGGCGGCACCATGGGATCCATAGTGTGGAACATAGGAGGACCAAAACCTGGAGAGAGCAGATAAGGTTAACGGGATAGTGAAGCACTTTATCATGGGTTACTCAGAGTCAGTGGTGGAAAGAGTACTGAAAATTTGTACTTCAGTACAAGTACTGTTACATTGCTGAAATAATACTCAATTACAAGTAAAAGTACTGGTGCCAAAACAGTACTTAAGTAAAAGTACAAAGTACTCTTCTCAAAAACTACTCAGAGTACTAGTTACTTTTTAGCCGACGATATTTAATGAATTACCAAAAAATATTTGCTCATAGCAGATTCACGGCTGGATTGGAGTGGTTAAAATTGTAGTTTTTCACTAAGCGCGTGCTGTTGAAAACGTTGTTTTCTCAAAAGCACAGTCACGTACATGCATGCTGCTCACATATTATTGTAGCCCAGTTTGTGCTGATTACAGTGTTATTATCCCATTCCAAAACATTTCTAGCATAAACTTACATTGTAAAGAAATTAAAGATCCATCTTTGATTGCTGAAAGACTTTCTGGTGCATTTCACTTAGCCTACAGCCAATAAAATTTACAGTAGGATTTTCATCGGTCAGGCGTGGATCTACTCTGATAACTTTTGACAAAGTTTAATCCATGAGCAAAGAGAAATAATTTCTACTTTAAAAGCACGGAGAGATCGCGATTGCACAATATCGGAGTGAGAGGACAGGCAGTTCATTTGTATAAGTTAGGCCTCTCTGAGAGCTCGCATCCAGTTTTCTGTGATTACATGACTGTGTTCTCATGTTACAATAAAGCGCTCGCCACATTTGCGCGGGAATGATTAAAATTATGCGGAATACCTGCAATCCCGCGTGGATATTCAGACTCTGCAATTGACAGGAGGCGGATGAGTGTCAAACTCGCTGTCGGAGAGAAAAGAGAGACGCAGCTTGGAAAAGCAGCGGCTTTTCCTGGTTCAGATATCAGGGCTGTTATTGGTCCGTTTACGATCGGATATCTTCATGGCTACTGAAGTGCCGTTAAATAAGGTTTGAATATCAATTCAAATTGTGGGCGTACTCAGTAACGAACTATGATTTAAAAGTAACAAAGTAGATTATTTTGCTTAATTTGTACTTAAGTACAAGTAAAAGTACAGCTTTAAAAATATACTCAAAAAAGTACAAGTACCCGAAAAAACTACTTAATTACAGTAACGTGAGTAGTTGTAATTCGTTACCTCCACCACTGCTCAGAGTACAAAAAAAGAGGAAGGAGGAAGTGAGTGGGGTGAAACTCACCAGGCGGTGGGGGCATGGCAACCCCAGGTGGAGGAGGAAGTCCCAGGTTCATGACAGCAGAGGAGCTGGTGGGAGCCAGGTTGAAGTAGTTGGTGGAGGCATCTTCATCAGACACAGGGGGTGGGGGCAGAGCTGTTGAAAAAAATATGAGAAAGGAAAAATTCACACACTACACTACCTTATATAATATATAGAGGCCCCCAATCAATTTATTTTGGAATAACTGTATTCCGTTGTAAAAGCAGTATATAGAAAAAGTAGTAAATATAATAGATGTATTCCTTTTTATTCAAAATAAAATAAAAATTAAATCAATTACAAAAAATAATACATAAGCAGTACATTTCATCATTAGCTTATGTTAATGTATTATTACATTATCACTGTGTGTATATATATATATATATTTATTTTACCAGTGTGGCTGGTCAAGCTTTTAAATAAATATATAAGTATAAAAGCAATCCATACAAATTCACATTCACATTATTTTACTATATAAAACATGTCTATGTTTGAGAGACTTTGTCACATACCACCAGGGAGGCCGGGCACCGGCTCCAGCCTGATTCCACTCTCCGTCACCCCATCCTTCTCTCTCTCTTTTCCTCGAGCCGCCTGTGACCTGAACGACACACAACAACATTCAGAACTGCCACCACATAAATGCTACTGTTTGAATTTCTGTTTTTTTCTTGCACGACTAGACACTGACCTGCCCCATTTAACATTAAGCCGACGTCCATTAATGATGAGTTTATTAAAGGACTTCTCTGCAGCCGTCTCTGCGCCCTGCCGTGTAGCAAACTGGATAAAAGCACACTGCTGCCTTTGAACTATGGTGATGGTACGAATCTCCCCAAACTGGTAGAAGTGATTCCTTTGTGGAAAAAGTAAACGGTAATCTTTAATCAAGAAATGACACAAAAAGGGAAAACAACATTTGCAATATAATGTAACAAAGTAATACTCTTAACAGTTTTTACCTACATAAGTGGCATTTTGCTTTTTTTTTATTTTTTTTATAATAATATAGCTTTAGACTTTATATCAAATGAGTGACTATTTTAAATTTTGAACCAGTAAAGGCAAAATAATTAAAAACCTGAAAAGGTGACCAATTATAGGAACTAAAATACTTGTGTGCCTACCACAGCTATTTTAACATTATTAATAGATATTAATATAATTATAATAGTAGTAATAAGAGAGAGAGAGAGAGATAGAGAGATAGAGATAGAGATAGAGTGAGAGATAGAGATAGAGAGAGAGAGAGAGGGTACAACGGGGCTAAAGGCGCCTTTGATATTATTTGAACATATAAAAAAATTTATCTGAATTATCCTATAAGAATGCTAGAATTAGGATTGTGTCAGTTTCTAAAGATTTATATACTGTTTGTTGGCTAAAAGATCACTTTGTGCATTCGTCTGAAGTAAATACCAAACATAGGAGATTTATCAGCTTTTGTTCTTTTTAAAAAATATTATTTTTAGCAATATTTCTAGCTTTTTTCAGTTGACAAAATATTTTTAATAGTTTTAGCCTGATGAACTCTGAAGTGCATTTACCTGAGCTCAGAGTCTGTAACGTCTTCTCCCAGCCCTCCGATATAGAGTGTGGTGATAGACTTGTCCTCCGGTATGTCCAGTCTGGGCATGGTGGTGGCCCGCATCAGGAGTTTGTTAGCCACAGGATCATTAATGCCATAGAAACGGTCCTTAATGTTCTGATCAGCCAATGGGTCATCTGGATCCGTGGGCTTTTCATGCCTTTGATATTAAAGCAATACATTTCATGTCAAAAATGTAATCAAAATTCATAATCACTCATACATAATTCAATACCTTAAGCATATTTCATTAAAAATGTCACTCCATAAAAGTGCATAAGGTGTACTAAGCAAGCAACTTGATGCAAGACAAGCAGCAAAATGAAAATCATGACAACCAACACTGGGTGTTTTCTGACACAACTCAGCGTAAAATTAAGAATCATGGGTCATGATTTTACACCCATAAAAGATTCTTGAGGTGTTGCTCACCTGTACGGACACTCTTCCCCTCTCTTGCACTCCCCCTTCACCCAGAAGGAACAGATGTGTGGTCTGTTCCTCTTGTAATACGGTGTGGTACGAGCTAGTTTCAGCAGCATATCGCTGCTGCTCGGTGCCTTCCCAAGCAGCCCCACGGGTCTTGTGCCATCAGAGTTAGCGATCTACAGGTTAAAACCCACAGATACTTTTACTTATTACTTAAAGCAGTTTAGTATTTGCATTTACTATGCTATGTTACCATGTGGAAACCACTTAATGTTTTTTTTTGCAAATGAAGACATCATAAAACATGAATAAATGTGTAATGTACTGACAAATTACCTCTCTCTCCATATTCTGAGTGTAATACTCCTTATTCACGTCTGATCTCGGTACTTCATCTTTAACGGACAGCCCAGTGTCACGAACCTGAATGGGCAAACCTGTGCAAAGACACAAAAAAAAAAATAAAAATAAAAAAAAAATAATAATAATAATAATAATAATAATAATAATAATTAAATTATCCTATAAGAATGCTAGAATTAGGATTGTGTCAGTTTCTAAAGATTTATATACTGTTTGTTGGCTAAAAGATCACTTTGTGCATTCGTCTGAAGTAAATACCAAACATATGTCCAAACTACTGATATACTGTAGCAATATGTCAACTAGTGTTTTCAAAAATATTTATTTGTTTGATCCAAATCAATTCTGAATATTTAAAACGGTTTTAATGTTT